ATCACATTTTTTCTTAGAGACACCATATTGTCACTGTAACCTTTCTCATAGGACATCATTACTAGTACACACTGGCTCTCATCCACAATCTCTACCAGTGATCCTACACCATGACCATTAAACCAATAAAGTCCATTCTTCCAAAATGTACAACGTCGCTTTAACTTGTCATCTTCTTGGGGTTGAGCCATTTTAAAAGCAAGATGTAATGAGAGAACATGGAAGTATCGAGGAGGAAAGAAATCATGTTCTCTAGTACATTGTAGACACCAACCAAACTGGTACACTTGGGTAGTCATTTCATCAGATCTATCAGTAGACAAAAGACATGGAAAAAACAACAACCTTTCTCCTCTTCTTTGAGTCTCTGAGGCTCTTTCTCTTGTCTCTTTTCTATCTCCTTCTATTAAGTTTGTCATTATTAGGAAAGATGGATCCAACTCTTGACAAAGTTCCATGTTCTTTAGAAAACAGATCAACATGTCAGGATCATATTCAGGGAAGAGTCTAGTCAGACCAGACACACTAACAATACCAGTATTGCTAGCAATGTCTACGTGTTCTTTAAATTTCTCTGGAGCAAAGAGAACCCCATTCACCTCAGTTAGTAGTATGCTGTTATTCACAACAACCCATACCTTCTCTTCACTTTTAAGAACACTGATCAAACCAGTTGAGTGCAATGAACAGAGAACATCCAAGACATCTTCTCCTTTATCTGGTATAACGTAATCATTATTGTCTTCACCAGCAAATACTACATCAGAGAAGGTCATTATATTTTCCTTCCTTTCCTCCAGTAAACCATACATCATGTGACAATAAAGACTCAAATTCCTTCTACTTGTACTACGAATGGACTTGCAGGAACTGGACAACTTTTTAAAAAATAAATCCACACCACCCCCACCAAGCTTACGACAATCTAAGAAGACACTATCACACTTTTCCCTTTTAATAATCTCCTCTATTTCTTCCTTTCTCCTCTTTTCAACAGGATTACTTATCTTATCCACATGACTGACTATTACAATAACATGACATTGACTAAGAGCTTTCTGTGCTTCATTTCTCACAACTGATAGCCACTGATGAAGCTGTTTGACTGCTTCCTTCTCCAATATATTGACTACTATCAGAAACACACCACCAGAACCTTGTAACAGATTTTCAATGACAGCACTGTGACTGGAGTAGTATTCTGAATGACCAGCAAAATCATGAAGAATGATGTTACCCAGTGTTCTGTGTTGTAGTTTGTAAGGAATGATACCAGCAGTGCAGGGCACTACACCTCCAACATTTCTAAAAAAACCAAGAGTAATAGAACCAGTAGTTGTGTCATTGATGACATGACTAAGAGTGCTTTTACCAGCTCCAGGATTACCCACAAGGAGAACGCTAACATAAGAATCAATTGGATGAGATATTTTAATGTTACCAAACTTCTTGAAAATAGCAATGGCAGTATCACTATCATACTGTCTCTCTTTAGCCAGTTGTAATGGTGTTTTCTGTCCACTGTCCCTAGCCAAAGGATCACAATTACCAGTTGATAATAAGTATTCAATGACTTCAGCTGTACCCCAACCAGCAGCACAATGAAGAGGTGTTTGTCCATACTTATCAGTGACCATTGTATTGCAGCTGTATTCATTAATGAGATACTTTACAACATCTATGTGCTGAGCAGCACAATGAAGAACAGTCTGACCATCAATATTACAATATTGTTCATCCATTACATGACCATTGATGTTCACGACAACATACTTCAAGACATCAAATATTCCTTCACTAGCTACATAATGAAGAATAGTATTTTTATATTTATCACGAGTCATTATATCACAGTTACACTCATTTATGAGGTACTTTAATATATCTATGTGTCTAACAGCACAATGAAGAACAGTCCGACCATGAGTATCGCAATATTGCTTATCCATTATATGACCATTGATGTTCATGACAACACACTTCAAGACATCAAGCAATCCTTCACTAGCTACATAATGAAGAACAGAGATATTATCCTTATTAGTGACCATAATATCACAGTTACACTCATTAATGAGGTACTTCACAATATCTACATGTATGCCTTTAGCAGCAGAGTGAAGAACAGTCCAGCCATGAGTATCACGATGATATTGTTTATCCATTATATGACCATTGATGTTCATTACTATACACTTCAAGACATCAAGTAATCCTTTACTAGCTACAAAATAAAGAAAAGGAACACCAGATTTATCACGAGTCATTATATCACAGTTACACTCATTAATGAGGTACTTTAAAACATCTATGTGTTTAACAGCACAATGAAGAACAGTGTGACCATTTTTATCATGATATCGTTCATCCATTATATGGCGATTGATTTTCATGACCATACACTTCAAGACATCAAGTAATCCTTGACTAGCTACATAATGAATTATATCATAATTAATGAGGTACTTTACAACATCTGTGTGTTTAACAGCAAGATGAACAACAGTCTCACTTCTATTGTTAGTAGTCATTAGATCATTATAGTGATGAGTATCGATGAGATACTTCATTACATCAACTAAT